GTTTTTGTACCCTTCCCCAGATCTGTGCCTCAACATAATTCTGTCTCGGAGCTCTATGGACATTTCCTTAGACCCCATGGCTTGGTTTTTGCTCTGGCTTGCACTGTCAACTGCGGGACCTTATATAGACAGGTGTGCCTTTCCAAATCACGTCCAATCAATTTAATTTACCACAGGTGGACTCCAACCAAGTTGTCGAAACATCTCCAGGATGATCAATGGAAACAGGGTGCACCTGAGCTCAATTTCGAGTCTCATAGCAAAGGGTCTGAATACTTATGTAAATAAGGTATTTCTGTTTTCTTTTTAATACATTTGCAAACATTTCTAAAAACCTGTTTTCACTTTGTCATTATAGGGTATTCTGTGTAGATTGCTGAGGATTTTTTATTTATTTAATCCATTTTAGAATAAGGCTGTAATGTAACAAAATGTGTATAAAGTCAAGGGGTCTGAAAACTTTCCAAAGGCACTGTATATTCTATCTATCTATATCGATAGATAGATAGATAGATAGATAGATAGATAGATAGATAGATAGATAGATAGATAGATAGATAGATAGATAGATAGAGATATAGCCAACAGATCAAACATTGTGTGGGACATTGTTCTTAGGCTTATCATTGTCTCTTTCAACAACAAATGCAGTTCTCCTGGTGGATTTATTTGTATTATGTTGAGATACTTAACTGACTCCGCCCCACAAGCAATGATCTATTGTTTACACCCGACTGGGTTCAGTTTAACTGCTTAGTAACTTGACTCCCTTATACCATTAGAAAGTGGGAGGATTTTGAGAGCTGATGAAAATGTCTTACTATTAAAGCAGTGGATCTTGACTTGTGAGAGGAAGAGGTGCTTACCTAGTGGACTTTTGCCAGCAATATAAATCACCATAAGGACACTTATGCATTTACTGTATATTTTTACATTTTAGTCATTTAGCAGACGCTCTTATCCAGAGCGACTTACAGTTAGTGAGTGCATACATTTTTCATACTTTTTTCATACTTTTTGCACAAAGGGAAATGTCTTGAGATCAAAAAGTTGAGGCCTCTGAACCTAGTGTGAATTGTAATATCTGGTGGCATTGTTTCATGCAGTCCCTCAGCAGCTAAATGCCCTGCCCTCCCTCCTCTCTCTCTTTCCTTCTCTCTCTCTTTTTCTCTCCATCCTCCAGCTGCCCAGAGTCTACCAACTAGGGGACAGCTGAGTGGAGAGGGGTTATGGATAGAGAGAGAGAGGGACTGAGAAAGTGAGAGATAACAGCCCCCCTCCCCCTGAGACCTGTTCTTAGAAAACTGCATCTCTGTGTGGAATCACTGGAACCATGGGACCAAGCAGCATGGAAAACACGATTCTAGAATGTCACGCTCTGAGACTGCATGCCAGGCCAGGCAGGCCATCTCTTTGGACTATCTTCAGCGCTCTCTCTCTCTCTCTGAGTCTTGTATCACCTCGTTTGTGTTCTTGTCTAATTAGTTAGTGCCTTGTCCGTTACTGATCATCTTGGCTCCCGTGTTAACATCTTGTTCTCTGAGATCCCTTCTTACCCCGGGGCTATTTTTCTCCCATCTTTTCTCTGAGAGAATAAGGAATTCCAGTGGCAAGAGCAATCAGTGGCAAACATCAAAAGGATCCTCAGCAGAGTTCCGCTGCCTGTCAGAGTAAAATCATTTGTTCCCCCTTTCTTTACACTTTCTCCACGCGTCATCCCTTTTACAGCCCCCTTTCTCTCGCTCTCCTTCAACACACACTCTTTCTCTCTCCCTCTCTATCTCTCTCCTTTTTCCTTCTGTCTTTATTTCTGTCTTTCTGTCTTTCTTTCTTTCTTTTTATCTTTCACCACTGGTGCATTTTATGTGGTTCCTGAAAAACCTTTCCTCAGAGCCTGCCTGCCACTGTGAATTTTGGACAGCATGTCAGCTAACTTTAGAAATGGCTCTTTATGCGTTTTGTGTTTTCGGAGGATCCTTTTTTGTCTGGGTTTTCAGACAGAGGTTGAATTTATACCCTCGCGAACATTGTAAAAAAAAGCCTGTTTAAGTAAATATGTATTGTGAATGTATGAAAGAGAAGTGATCAAAGAGAAAACAAAGTTTTCCCTACATTATTTACTAGTAACCTATTATGTTTTTAACCACCACTCACCTTCATCTATGATAAAACGACCCAACCAAAACATGAACTAAGTAAACAATAGGCATAATTTCCGCTAAGCATCAAATGCACTGTTGGTTAAGGGCTGTAAGTAAGCATTTCACTGTAATGTCTGCACCTGTTGTATTCGGCGCATGTGACCAATACAATTTGATTTGATTTGATTTGAAATGCTGTAGCTAGATTATATTTTTCCAACAGCAAATACATATTTTTTTACATCAGCTAACACAAATATTAACTATAAACAGTAAAAAGGTGATGTATGTATAAATGATGTAAGAAACGTGTGGGCAGTGTTTAGGGGGTAGAATCATAAAGATCCTATGCAATTCTATGGGTAGGATCCCCTCAACATTCTAGAACAGTTGAACTCTGCTCTCTTCACAGTGTAAACATGAATCTAGAAAATAGAATCTAACTCTGACACGTCCAGTGTATTTTTGATCAAGATGAATTCTTTGACATGAGGATGGTTTTCATAGTGTCTAGAATTCATTAGGGTGAATTTGAATAACGACACTTTGCTTACATGTGTCCCAGAGGGACGAGACCATGTGATTTCAAAGGAGACACAACACAGGACTTTGGTTAAAACAGAAAAAACGGAGATACTGTATTTGAAATGTACAAAAGCTATATACAACACACACACACACTCACACTGAGCATAGTAAAATGGATGGGCAGCATACCTGTACATACGGTAAGGCTACTTTAATTCCAGCAAGCAAACTAAAATAAAAACTGAGGAGGTTGTGGTGTATCATTGTCCTTGATATGATTCGTAATCAAAGTAAAACGTTCCTTCTTTGATTCCCCATATAGTCCATGTCTAGCTCAGGGAGTAGGTAGGGGTAATGAATCCACAAATTAGTGTGTAATCATGTCCACAGAGAACACATGGAGTACTAGCATATTCCTTTAGAGATCTGATACATCCTAGACAGGCACAGGGTCTGTGTGTGCAGCCTGGTCTCATAGACTAGACGTAACATAGTAAATGTAAATCAGGTACACTGAAATTAGGATGATATGTTTAATTTGGTATGGTTACATAAGAGAGAAGGTTTTTAAAGGCAAAAATTAAAGTAGGGTGGTTGGATAGGGTGGATGGGTAGGCGTATAACGCAAACGCTTAGCAACCCAAAGGTTGAGTGTTCGAATCTCATCACGGACACCTTTAGCATTTGAGCTAATTAGCAGCTTTTCAACTACCTACCACTTTTTAGCTACTTTGCAACTACTTAGCATGTTAGCTAACCCTTCCCCTAACCTTAATCCTTTAACCCAACTGCTAACCTTAACCCTAACCTTAACCCCTAGTCTAGCTAACGTTAGCCACCCAGCTAACGTTAGCCACCTAGCTAACGATAGCCCAAACAAATTGGAATTCATAACATATCATACGTTTTGCAAATTTGTAACATATTGAACGAATTGCAAAATCGTTAAATATTGTACAAATTGCAATTCGTAACATATCATACGAAATGGATGATGGGCATCCACAAATTAATACATACCATACGAAACATAACATATCCTACTAATAGGAGTGTCCCGGACTTACATTTACTATGCTACGTCTACCCCTGAGTCCAGGTTGGCGTGTCTCTCCACAGACTGACTTACACTGAGGCAGATCTCTGTCCTTTTCAATCATACAGTCAGTCTCACAAGGAGGAGGGTCCTTAGAGGGTTACTGTACAGCTTCTGGAGGGCACTTGGAAGATATTTTATACAGTATGACTGAAAGTGGCCATCTCCTGTACACTATGGCTGGATTCCCGTATATAGATTAAGCCTTGTCCTGGACTAAAAATCACTTTCAATCGAGAATCTCCACTCAGCATGGTTTTTAGTCCTTCATTAGGCTTAATCTGGGTCCACGAAAACCGTCTCTAGCTTGGCATGGGATCTTGTTCCACTGCAAGCTCCTCTATACATGGATTGATGTTAACAATGTAGCATCACAATGTTCTATAGTTGCATCATATTATACTTAGCTTGCAATACTCAAGTCTCTTTAACATAATTTAAAGCACGTACCATACAGTATATCTATAAACATGATCAAAGGTCGTAATGAGAAAATTATTTGAATATTTCCATATGCCTTTTTACCTGGCAACATCGTTACATGTATGTACGTTTCATGAGTTCACATGTTATTCAAACTTTATCTATTTAGCAAGGCACTTTGTGAACTGCTTTCAGTGCACTGCTTTTTAAAGAGTAACAAACATCAACAAATACTGAGCAATGGACACTTATTTGCTGATGTATTTTTATACCCTGGTCTATTCTTATTCGTAGATACAAAGTATGGCTTTTCAAAACAGTGATAATGCTCCTTATGCCTTTAAAATGTTCCTTATGTCTTTACTATACTTACTTTATCAACACAAACACTACTTAAAATGTACTTGAGCAAATATTACATATTACTGGATAAGCAAAGTCTCTATACAGGCCAGCGGAGATCAACATGCTCCTGAAGAGTACCATTTCCATAAGGTATTGTTACATATAATCAGTGCTTTTATAGTACATTTTTCTTTGAAATGGTCTGAATACACAAGGGGGCATCCCAATAATATCTCCTTCCTTCCGAAGTGTGCACTCTTTCACTACTCCTCACAAAATTAAAAGCATTGGATTGGTGTAGGCATGGGCTAGAGGGAGTTTCCATACACCAATCATTTTCTTTCAACTCCATGAAGGGAAGTGAACAAGTGCACAGTTGGGGAGAAAGGAGAGATTATTGTGACACAGCCAAGGCCTTAGCTCATCATGTTGAGGAACTTGCTCTCCTCAGCCAGGGTGGTCAACATGGAGCTCATGTCTCCGATAGCCATATTACCGATCCCTGCTGGCACAGAGGCCAGGGTCACAGAGTTACGGGGGGTTGTAAGCCTGGAGGAATTCTGGGACAGGCTGGTGAGGAGTCCGGGGCTGAGGGTCCCTGACATCAGGCTGGAGTGGTCTCCATCATCCAACATGGCGTCAAAGTCAATCTGGGCATGCTCCATGCCAGAGGTCGATCCAGAGGAGCCGGACGAGTCTACGGTGCTGGTGACCTGGTTGACCCCTGGAGACGCCATGGTAACAGTGGTGCCTCCCGGAGTCTGGCCCATGAAGGGGGACATGGGGGAGTTGAAGCTCACGTTGTGGTTGTTATTGGGTTCAAACATGTGGATCTGGCCGTCATAAAACATTGAAGCGTTGGAGTTTGAGTCTCTGTTATGTCTGCCGGTATGTGCTGTGGTGCCACCCGGCCTCTTTGGACTGGCCTCAGAGGTGTTGTGATTGAAGTCAAACTGAGGGAAACGGTTCTGCTGCATCATACTTCTGGACCCTGAGTGTTGTCTACTGCTCATAGACTTGGGCTCCATGGGAGGCCTGGGCTGCATCCCAGCTCTGTTCCCAGTATTGACATCTTGCTGCTGAGATGGAATACTGTAGTTCTGCTGGTCAACCTGAATCAAGTGGGGGGCATAGCTTTCAACCGGAGTCCTTGACCTGTAGATCTGCGTATCAGGATTGTTGTGTGTAGCCATCACCCTGCCATTGGGCAGTGCCATGCCATTCAAGTTGGGTCGTAGGCTGCCATTCCCAGATCCAGAGTTAGGGACAGGGATGACCTCTTGACCGTATCCTTGCTGTGGACTCATCTGCTCAGTATAGTTTATGCTGCATGGCTGCCTCTGTTGCTGTTGGACAGAGTTGATCCTCTGAGAGTTGCTTCTCTGGGTGTAGCCTTGTAGAGCCATATTCTGGTTCATGGGAATCACCTGCTGGTTACTGTTACTACCCATACTACCCTGGAAATGCCCAAAGTTCTGTCTCTGCTGGACCATGGCCAGGTTGTTGTTTCTGAGGAGGTTCTGCTTGGTGAGTCTGGAGGTGGCTATAGCATCCACAGTCCCTGAGCTGACCTCGTTCCACTGGACTGGCATGTTGTTCTTGTTGTTCATACTGTGAGAGGCTGGGTACTGCTGCTGCTGGGAGCCAGACCCGGGGCTCATCTGGTAGGGGGGTAGGGGAGCCTGGCCTGACCCAGACAGGGGCATGTTGGCATCCACCATGGCCATCCTCCTCTGCCCATAGAACTGCTGTTGGCAGGAGGTCATATTCCCCTGGACCTGGAAGCCGCCTTGTAATTGGCTGTTGGCGTAGTCGGCGGGGCCTGCTGATTGGCCAGGGCCAGTGTTCTGAGACCTGATGTACTGTACGACGTCATCAGGCAGCACCATGTCTTCATCCCCTGCATGGTCCAGCCCATCCACAGCCATGGTCTCCATCACCACGTTCTCTGAGATGCTGGGGGGCCGTGGGGCAAAGGGGTGGTGGTGCAGGCTTCCGTCGGACCGCGTGTAGCTCTGCATGGCCAGGCCCCGGCGGTCGGCAGAGGGAGGAGGCATCATACTGTTGGGGTTCATACTATTCATGCTGTTGTAGCGCTGGACTCGTGGCAGGGACAGTGGGTCTAGGGTAGGTCTGCGGACAGGGTCGCTGGCTCGCCGGGGTAGGTTCCCAGGGACCTCGTGGGGCATCATGCTATGGTTACCGTAACCGATGTCGCTGCAGCGTCTGGGAACTGCTCCGGTAGGGGGGTGGAACAGTTGAGAGTGGGAGGAGCTTTCCCTTTCCTGGGAGTGGTCCCCGTACAGGGCCATCCTGGTCCTGAGGCTCATGCGCTCCATGTTGGGCAGAGGTGTAGGTGGAGCGCCCCCGATTGCGGCAGCGTACTTGGCCTTGAGACGGTAGTGCTGGGCCGGGGTGAGGCTGAGCAAACTAGATAGGTTTCCACCACCACCTCCACACTGGCTGGCCTCGCTGGATCTCCGGGACAGGTCTGTGGAGATGGGGTCGTAGGAGTCGGCTGAGCTGATGTTGTTGTGGCGGTTGCTGAACTGCGAGGCTTCGGAGGAGCGGCGGCTGGAGTAGCAGGGGGAGATGCCAGAGGAACGCCGGCTGATGTAGGCTGAGCTGGTAGTGCTGGTGTTGCTGTCCCGGCGGCCCTGTTCGTTTAGCTGGTTCAGCATGGTCACCTCGCATGACGACAGGTCACCAAGTCGCTGACCAGGGTAGGGCCCGGGTGGAGCGATCAAATTGGAGTTCTCCAGAAGGGAACCTGAGGAACCAACAAAACGAACCACATTATAACATATAAGGCAAAACCCCTTTCTAGGTTTCTAAGGCTTCTTCACATATTCCTCTCAACTCAATCTTTCCTATTATGGATGTACTAATCCTTCAGCATTACTGCAGGTTCTTAAAAACAGTTGTTATCAAAAACTATATTGTTACAGTATAGAACTTCACACTTACCAACAGCAGGAATGGGAGGCAGCTTGGTGTTGGTGTTTCGGACCTGAGGTGCCTGAGGACCAGAGTTGGCCCAGGGACAAGAGTCCCTCACATTCTTCAGCCTCTCCTTCTTGATATTCTCCAGCTTAATGGTGACTCCTCTCCCTTTATGAAGCCCAAGCCCCACCCCCACTGAGTTGCGGGGGGAGAGGGTGGAGGAGTCCACCATGGGAGGATCGTCCAATGCACTAAGGTCCCCAAAGCTGCCCCCACTGTGCAGGGCCATCTCTACTCCACTGTCATTGTTGTGGGCACTGCCAAGTGGCGACGGCTCACTGCTACATGACGAGTGACCGCCAGGGCTGGATTGATACATCTGGAGAGGGGGACAGGATAGGTGGTTCAGGTTAGACACCGGATCAAGCCTATTAAGGTCTTTTCACATTACTGGGTAGGTTTGGTTCAGATTGGCATGATAGTGTGAAACGGGTATCACTGTCAGACAGGGCATTGTTGTTATAAAAAAGATGCTTAAAGTTACAATTTGAAATACTGGAATACAGTTGCAAAATTCTGATTAATAAATTATGTAAACTCTTTGCAAAACCACAAATTAAATGAATTATGTAGCCTAGCTATAGTTTCTTAATCTTATTTATCATAGAATTGTTGGATTCATTTACAAAGGAAACGTGTCTATTAGTGGAGGGACGGGGGGATATTGTGTGTCTCATCATAGTCAAGTGTTGATAGTGGTTAATTCTGACACAGACTGAACTAGAAAGAGTCTTGATCACAGCTTGATCGCTGGCACTATTTGTTCGGCGCACATGCTGAACAGTCCCGTTGTTTGAATATTAATTTGATAATTACTTTTATCATGGCCTGACAGACAATACTGTCAGATCTCTAGGCCACAGAGGAATATAACTGAATAAAGTGTGTGTGTGTGTGTGGGTGTGTGTGTGTGTGTGTGTACAAAGGGGTGATTGAAGTATATAAACCCTGGATTGCTGATGCTATGTATTGGCCAATGAGAGGGTTTGAAGCCACCTGTCGGCCATATTGGCACTCCCCAGGAGAGCAGTCCTCCATAGGAATGAATGGAATTCTACAGTATTTCAATTAAATGTTTTAAGGACAAAATTACATGTATTTAAGTATTGTTTTGTTGTAGTGGGGGCAGTAACATTAGCACTTTCAAAAAATTATACTTTAAGGAAAATGTTTTTATACATTTTTATTTGTATGTTTGGCTCACATAACATAATTTAAAAGTAAGCATTAAGGTGTCTGCAATATAATAAACGTGGCAATGTTTTTGTTGTTGACATTAATAAATCAATTTCTATAGCTTCCAAAATATTTCTTACAACGTTGTGGGAGTGCCAAGATGGAGTCATGGTGGCTTCAAAACAGCCCCCCCCCCCCTGTCGGTCATCTAGTGTATTTATAACTAAATGGGTAGATTTCACAGTACATCACAACATCCAACTGTAGCTAGTATACACTTTTAAAACAAGAAGCTCTTGGAAAGTGCTTGGTGGTAATCCTCTGTTATTTCATACATGGAGGAACAGAGTAGTGAATTTCAAATGTATTGACGGTTGACGCAGAATTGACATGCAGAGTTAAAAAGCATTGAAAGGAATAGAAACAGTGGTGGTGCTCACCTCAGTGAAGCCTGTCCAATAGGGAAAGTGTTAAGGAAAGAGAAGCACATTCAAGCAGTGACCAGAGTGGTGAGTTAGGTTAGGAAGAGGATAGACCAGCAGCAGTTAAATTATCCATCACAGTTAAGTTAATGTGAAAGGTGATGGGATAAATGGTGAAATGCTTGCATTTGCGTCACAAGACTCAAATAACATAGAACATGTATGAATGATACTGTTAAGATAGCATTGATAGTTTTAAGTAGTTGTAGTTGATAGGATTTTGACAATAGTCAAAGTCAATGCTTTGTTAAAAGCAGTGGTTATGACACAATCAAATGTCACACCCAGTCTTACCATCGAGTTCTCAGTCTTGATAGACTTGACCTGCAAGCAGTCCTCCACTCCTCTAATGGTGCTGTTGGCCTCCATTTTTCCATCCATCACTCTACCACTCTGTTTGGCGTTTGCCTCGTTCTCTCCATTCCCCTTAGGAGGACCCCTGGGGGGCACATCGCCACGTTGTTTCTTCGTGACGTGGGCCTCAGGTCCGTGGACCGTCTTCACATGCTTCCTGAGAGAGCTGGGGTCTGTGTAGCGCTTAGTGCACCCAGGGATTTTACAGATGTAGGGTTTCTGGGAAACATAATTTTACATAATATCTTATTATCTGATGTTTAAGTTGATTACTGTTTTAATCCATTGTCTTCTGAAAATACACTACCGGTCAAAAGTTTTAGAACACCTACTCATTCAAGGGTTTTTCTTTATTTTTACTATTTTCTAGAATTTATTTTTACATTGTAGAATAATAGTGAAGACCTCAAAACTATGAAATAACACATATGGAATCATATAGTAACCAAAAAAGTGTTAAACAAATCAAAATATATTTTATACAGTGGGGAAAAAAAGTATTTAGTCAGCCACCAATTGTGCAAGTTCTCCCACTTAAAAAGATGAGAGAGGCCTGTAATTTTCATCATAGGTACACGTCAACTATGACAGACAAAATGAGGAAAAAAATTCCAGAAAATCACATTGTAGGATTTTTAATGAATTTATTTGCAAATTATGGTGGAAAATAAGTATTTGGTCAATAACAAAAGTTTCTCAATACTTTGTTATATACCCTTTGTTGGCAATGACACAGGTCAAACGTTTTCTGTAAGTCTTCACAAGGTTTTCACACACTGTTGCTGGTATTTTGGCCCATTCCTCCATGCAGATCTCCTCTAGAGCAGTGATGTTTTGGGGCTGTCGCTGGGCAACACGGACTTTCAACTCCCTCCAAAGATTGTCTATGGGGTTGAGATCTGGAGACTGGCTAGGCCACTCCAGGACCTTGAAATACTTCTTACGAAGCCACTCCTTCGTTGCCCGGGCGGTGTGTTTGGGATCATTGTCATGCTGAAAGACCCAGCCACGTTTCATCTTCAATGCACTTGCTGATGGAAGGAGATTTTCACTCAAAATCTCACGATACATGGCCCCATTCATTCTTTCCTTTACACGGATCAGTTGTCCTGGTCCCTTTGCAGAAAAACAGCCCCAAAGCATGATGTTTCCACCCCCATGCTTCACAGTAGGTATGGTGTTCTTTGGATGCAACTCAGCATTCTTTGTCCTCCAAACACGACGAGTTGAGTTTTTACCAAAAGTTTCTATTTTGGTTTCATTTTTTCTCTATTTGTCTGTCATAGTTGACGTGTACCTATGATGAAAATTACAGGCCTCTCTCATCTTTTTAAGTGGGAGAACTTGCACAATTGGTGGCTGACTAAATACTTATTTTCCCCACTGTATTTGAGATTCTTCAAATAGCCACCCTTTGCCTTGATGACAGCTTTGCACACTCTTGGCATTCTCTCAACCAGCTTCACCTGGAATGCTTTTCCAACAGTCTTGAAGGAGTTCCCACATATGCTGAGCACTTGTTGGCTACTTTTCCTTCACTCTGCGGTCCGACTCATCCCAAACCATCTCAATTTGGTTGAGGTTGGGGATTGTGAAGGCCAGGTCATCTGATGTAGCGCTCCATCAATCTCCTTCTTGGTCAAATAGCCCTTACACAGCCTGGAGGTGTGTTGGGTCATTGTCCAATTGAAAAACAAATGATAGTCCCACTAAGCGCAAACCAGATGGGATGGGGTGTCGCTGCAGAATGCTGTGGTAGCCATGCTGGTTAAGTGTGCCTTGAATTCTAAATAAATCACAGACAGTGTCACCCACAAAGCACCCCCACACAATAACACCTCCTCCTCCATGCTTTGCGGTGGGAAATACACATGCGGAGACCATCCGTTCACCCACACCACGTCTCACAAAGACACAGCGGTTGTAACCAAAAATCTCCAATTTGGACCGGTCTAATGTCCATTGCTCGTGTTTCTTGGCCCAAGCAAGTCTCTTCTTCTTATTGGTGTCCTTTAGTAATGGATTCTTTGCAGCAATTCGACCATGAAGGCCTGATTCACACAGTCCCCTCTGAACAGTTGATGTTGAGATGTGTCTGTGACTTGAACTCTGTGAAGCATTTATTTGGGCTGCAATTTCTGAGGCTGGTAATGAACTTATCCTCTGCAGCAGAGGTAACTGGGTCTTCCATTCCTGTGGCGGTCCTTATGAGAGCCAGTTTCATAATAGCGCTTGATGGTTTTTGCGACTGCACTTGAAGAAACTTTCAAAGTTCTTGAACTTTTCCGTATTGACTGACCTTCATGTCTTAAAGTAATGATGGACTGTCGTTTCTCTTTGCTTATTTGAGCTGTTCTTGCCAAAATATGGACTTGGTCTTTTACCAAATAGTGCTATCTTCTGTATACCCCCCCTACCTTGTCACAACACAACTGATTGGCTCAAACACATTAAATAAATTCCACAAATTAACTTTTAACAAGGCACACTTGTTAATTGAAATGCATTCCAGGTGACTACCTCATGAAGCTGGTTGAGAGAATGCCAAGAGTGTGCAAAGCTGTCATCAAGGCAAAGGGTGGATATTTGAAGAAACTCAAATATAAAATATATTTTGATTTGTTTAACACTTTTTTGGTTACTACATGATTCCATATGTTTTATGTCATAGTTTTGATGTCTTCACTATTATTCTACAATGTAGAAAATAGTAAAAAATAAAGAAAAACCCTTGAATGAGTAGGTGTTCTAAAACTTTTGACCGGTAGTGTACATGATGTAAAACACAAATAAAACAAACAGAGAATAAGTTGACTAAATATTGGACATAGAAATCCTTGAATAGTGTAAACACAATTAACTTAAATGTGCATTAGTTCATTTAAATAGTGGCAGTGGGTAAATACATAGATGTAACTCACAGTATGTCTCTTAGTTGATTGTCTATGGTTGGGTGTTTATAGGAGCCTTACCTCATTGGAGTGAGTTCTGTTCTGGTGCTTCGCTCTGTCTGAGGCATTGGAGAAGGCTTTGTTGCAACCCTCGTGTTCACAGACATAAGGCTTCTCCCCTGTGTGGGACCTCAGATGGGTCTTCAGGTTCTCCAGGCGAGAGTAGGCCTTACAGCACCCTTCAAACTAGAGAGAGAGAGGAGGGAGGGAGGCATGGAAGGAAAAAAGGATTGATGGAAAGAGGGAGGGAGAGAGAGAAGAGAGAGAGACAGACAAAGGTCAGCGTTAGCAATAGCCTCAGAGACTCTGACATCTATCACACAAAATAATTTGCTCTTTGAGAAAAGGACTATTAAAAGAGACTGACATATACCACAAAAAGTATTTGCTCTTTGAGAAAAATGACTATTAGAAGTATTTAAGCAAAGCGCCAGACATCATGGAACACTTTGTTGAAACAAAGCAGCTGAGCTGTTCTGTGTTTAGCTTTGGTATGCTATGCATTGTTATGTGGTATGATTTGGTATTCCTTCAGAGTGTGCTGTGCTGTGCACTGTGGGTAATTGACAGAGAGTGTGAGATGGGATCAAACTAGATTAGCTCAAATGTGGACATAAAAGACCTGAGATCCTCCCTTCAAAAACACAAGACTTGGTAGAGAGGGAGAGAGCTGGGGTGAATGAGATGCATGTGGGATTTAGTAACTAAACTATACAGTAGAGTAGATCTTAATAAGGACCAATGGCCCCCTAGTCCTCTTTACACTTTAATAACTAACATCCTCCTCTCATGTCAATCAGTCTTGTGAAGTCTTCTCTTCTCAGAAGTTCTCTTTTAATGGACTCACAAGCCCTCATTATTGAGCTTTGAAGCTGAAGAAACTACACACAAAAATGTTATCATGAGTGAATCAGTGCAACAGATGAGGCCCTTAGTAAAGGCCCAGAAGACTATTCTATGTGGAGTGGATGGATTTCTGCTGGTGAGAAACAGGCTTTGAGTGGAAAGCTAAAGAACCATTTTAGGGCTTTGGTCTATAGTTATTATAGGGCACGAAGCAGAATCATAACCAGAGGTAGGACTTATAAATATGTGTGATAGTTATGTGAGTGGCTTATCTGTGACCTATAATAGAAGGCTCTGGGCTTCTTGGGAGAATGTGTACATGCCCAGGTGCATGTTGGGAGTTGGAGTTCTTACTGTGCATTTGTGTGGCTTCTCTCCAGTGTGTCTCCTCATGTGGACCACCAGCATGTACTGAGCCTTGAAGGGCTTCTGTTCCCGAGAGCACTCATCCCAGCGACACACAAATTCCTTCTTCTCCCCATGGATGTGGTCATTGTTGATATGCTGCAGAGAGAACAGGGGAACATGGGGTTACATGGGAATAAAACACATGGAAGTAAAACAGAGCAGGAATGTCCATGTATCTCAACCTGTCTGGGAGATAGACATGAACCTAATTTGTTTCAGGATATGATATTCTCAATCAACAAGATGTCAGATTTGTTTATGTCTTTAGAAATGTCCCCTTCTTGCTCATTTGAGGTGGGATGGTGTGTGTGTTGTTGTGTGTGTGTGGAGGAGACGTTGAGTCAGCAAAGAGCTTGTGAGAGCAGACCTCCCAACCATCCCTCTCTGAGTTTCCCACCAGAGTGGAACAACCTTCTTCCCTTCCCCACACCAGACCATGAGTGACAACGCCATCCATCATGGCTGACAGTAAGTTTCCATTCGTCACATTGTAGACAAAGGGTTGTGATGGGTTATTGGTGGGACTGTTTTGTCAGGCCCTGCGTCACACACACACACACACACACACACACACACACACACACACACACACACACACACACACACACACACACACACACACACACACACACACACACACACACACACACACACACACACACACACTATCCTGACCTGTCTTCCTGCCACACTTGAGATTTACACACATCTCCTCTCTCTCACTTTGATCAGGAAACCAATGGTGTGTAACATACCATGTGTACACTACTCTGAGATGTCCATGCTTGAATGGTTGATTTTATTTTCTACCTGGAGATACATTATCTGTCTGTTTGTCTGTACTGTACAAACTGAACTAGGGATGGTATTTTAAAATGTTAGTCGTCACAGACATGGTTGAAAGTTCGTCAAAGGACCTTGGAGACATGCATCAATTTTTGCGTGAGCGTTTCAAAAACATGACAGTGATTGGACAAAAATGTCTAAAGTTACATTCCATTCAATTACAGAAAACGAACTGAGAATCAAACACAGAGTTTCTGTTTTAGGGGAACTGCCTGTCTTTCATTTAAGTGTGTGGTCAGGAGGGCAGGAAGACTCATTCTGATGTATTGTCTAGGCATGCAAGGCCACTTGGTAAGATTACCCTGCTTAGTGCCTATCCCTCCATTTCCACTGAGCCAATAATTACAGTATATCCCATCCCTTAGGCCCAGACCCCCAAATACTCATGCTACACACATGCACACACACACACACACACATACACACACACACACACACACGCACGCACGCACGCACGCACCCACGCACGCACACATGCACGCACGCACGCACGCACGCACGCACGCACACACACACACACACATACACACACAAACAAACAACCACATGGAAAATATTCACACACCCAGACAAACCACTTTGTTTCCTAGGGACCTTTACCCTCACTGTACCCTACTAATGTGGCCACTTTGTCACAAGCCAGGGCCCTGGTCAAAAGCAGTGCACTATATAGGGAATAGGGTGCCATTTAGGATGCAGTCGTCCACCCACTGACTGGGTTAGTGGTTGACAGTCCGGATCCTGCCCAGTTCTTTTTCAAAGGAGGAGTGGATGAACAAGTGAAGTGTGTGGCCTGCAGCAGGCTTCCATTTTCAGCCATGTACTCTTCATACCATACTGAAACCATAATTTGGGGCTATTGGGGAAGGATTACTTTGGGTAAATATAACTTAGAAGTTCTACGCCATAATTGAGTGTATTATTTTTCAAGGTGAGTGATTTCACTTATATGACTGGTGAGAACAGTACAGGGGGTGTGTACTGGAGGGATAAAGTCCTATCAAATAGTTGGCAGCAGACTCTCATTTATTACATCTACAGATGTCTACATCTACGTTGGTATGTAATTAGAAGTTACTGTAACAAGAGACTCATTCACAGAAACATTCATTATTTTATAACACAGTATTTACAATGGACATTTACTGTTACTGTTTTTCTGCTTACCTTCCTTGCTGCCTTTCCCTTATTCCATTATTCCAGTGAGTTGTGGTATGTGTTCTGCTTCACCATGTCCATCCACACCCCACAATCCACACCACCAGGCCCTAGCTCTGTTTCCTAAACCCCTCAATCCCTGACAGAGCAGCAGAGTAGGGGGAATGGATCCTGGAACTAACTGGGGCTGGTCTGGACATGCCCTCTGTCAAGACAGACTGGGGCAGGGGGGCTGGGTGGCGGGAGGATGGTGGAGAAGTGAGAGGGTGGGGGAGGAGAGGGGAGCAAAGGGGGTAAATGGGATTCTAAGGTGGCTCTACTCCTGGACTTTCTTTGTCAGGACAGACTGGAGGGTGGAAAGGGGGGAGAAAGGGGCTCTAAGGTGAATCCACTCCTGACCCGTAACGCTGGGAGTTAGAGACCTCATTCCAGACTCAGCTCAGAGACTCCCAGTCTGGGTACTGGACTGACAATCCCAGTTAATCACAGCCTGTTGGAGTATAGTAGAGAGGGCTTCATCAGGGGTTCCTTAGGGAGGAAAGGAATAGAACAGAGTTCCAGAGCTCTGAGCATGACGATGGATTTACTGCCATGCCTCTAGGGTTCAGAGGTCAGCGGTGGCTGAGAGCCAGGGGTTGGGGTCACATCTGCAGGGGCGTTAGAGCACCTCCGTCTCCTCAGTCAGAATCAACAGGCCTCATTAACCCTGCGCGTGTCCGTCACAGGAAAGGATCAGTTACTACTGCCTTGACTGGTTACATATTAAACCTGACTGGACTGACACTTTAATGAGGAGCAGAGGAGGCCGTTTTGAACATTAAAAAAAGGGGGAAATGGGAGGGTGTCTTTCAGACTTCTTCCTGTATCTGTGTGCCTCTCTCTGCCCTTAAGCTTTTGTCTACTGAAAGTCACAGGCATACCCCCTGACTGTAGAGGCACCAGCAGGCCCCTACTCACAGATGTCCTAACTCTATGTGGTCACTAAAGATCCCTTAATAATAACTCACATGAACGAGCTGGTCCTGGGTGTCGTACTCCTTGCTGCAGCCGTCCCAGTGACAGTTGGTCTCATAGACAGCCTCTGGCTCCTGCTTCCATTCCTCTTTATCCTCACTCAGGTCCAGGACATGCTCCTGTGGACCAGAGGACTCAGTCAGAGAGGGGTTCATGACTGTCTTATGTGCATGCACGTACACAGTTTGTCTATGTGTTGACAATAGCATGTACAGTATATAGCCAACTATACTGAACTATTCTGCGTTTGCTTATCTGTTTCCTAATGATCTAAGATTGCTTTTGCGCAACTCACTCTAAAGATAAGAAAAGCAAAAAAGAGGTTGTGGGGTCCCATACCTGAGAGCATGGTGATATGGGCCGGGGTCCTTCTGCTTCTGTCTTGACCTTGTGCCTCTTGGTGATCATGGGGTTGACTGTGCTGCTCACCGCCGGGTCACCACCAGCATTCTGCAGGAGAGAGAAGGAGGTAGACGTTAGAGAGAGACAGACTATACCAGCCTTCTGAAGGACATACTGTAGAGAAAGTAGAGGTTAGGTAGAGTGGTCCTTAATGGCTCAGTTGGTAAGAGTGTCAAGTTCAATTCACACAGGGATTATATACAAAATGTATGCACTCACTGGATAAAAGTGTCTGCTAAGTGGCCAAATAGAAGGAGTCAGAGATACAGTGCTCTGGAGTGTGAAGAGACAGAGGCAGAGTTAAGATAACTCAGAGCAAAGTCAGAGCGACATCACAGTATTGTTCTTGGCGCTGGCTGACTGGCTCTGTTCTATGGTAACATGATGATGTGAGGGTTGGTTGGTTCCAGAGTCAACCAGAGCCAGCCAAGCACCAGGTTCAGGGCCCATAACTCGTATAGCAACCGGACACAGAGACTAAACAGTTTAGACTGCTTTATGAGAGTCAGCTAGGGGAAATATGAAAAGAGAGAAATTATTATCCACACTGCAACGCTCAGAGCTTTGATCCTCCGACCAACTCTCAACACAACAGACAGACAGGCCTTTTTAAGCCTCAGTCACAGACTCTGTGGAGGAGACGCTCAGTGTGAGTGTGTGTGTGAGTGAGTGAGTGTGTGTGTGTGTGTGTCTGTGTTTAAGCATCATAAAAAAGGATATGAAGTGAGGGTTGGGGGTCAGTGAGGAGGGGTCTCTCTAGTCTCCAAATCCCACCCAGCCACTACAGTACAGTACAGCGCTGACTGTGCTTCAGGGCCCCCATGCTTTCACTAACACCGACTTCAGTGGCTGGAAACCAGGATAAATATGGTTCTGATCACTGTCAGTGGGGTGGGGGGGCGAGGGGGATTCAGCTCAGTGTGTGTGTGTGTATATCTCTCTCTCTCTGTGTGTGTGTGTGTCTTTGTGTGTGTATCTGTGTGTTTGTGTGTACATTGGTGTACTAAAATTGACATAGTGATGGAATTTATGGGTGTCTCTGTGTGTGTGTGAGGGGGTGATGGTAGATGAGGGGGAAGTTTACATTCATAGAGACCATATTGTATACAATAGGTTGATAAAGGAGACAGAGGAAACACTTCTAAGAACTGAGACAGATAAAAACTGCTGCTAATGGGAGGGAGTCATCCTCCAGCTCATAGCTGTGCCATCTCTAGCCAAAAACACTTGACAGTTTATGACACTCTTGGGCTGGATTAATTTAGCATGCCATCATTTTATCCATAACTTAACATAATTTACTAAGTGTACTTTGGACTCTATATAGCCTACATTCCATTCACATTAGAGATCTTTGGTTTCTGTGTTATAGCTGAATGGATTTTATCCTTACCCCTCTCTGGGTATTCACAATTCATAGAATTGCATATAAAACATGAATTATAGGATCTCTATGACTACATCGACATGCGCGTCACAATTAAACCAGTGTTTGTGAGATATCAGACAGATATGTGCAGATATCTCATGTAAGACAATGCTACTCACCTGGTTGGACTCAGAGCTGGAGGTGTTGTGGGTGGTGTTGAGGGTGGAGGCTGTCAGGGCGTGGGCATGCTGGCGGGCAGCGAAGGAGGGCGATGGCTGGATGAGGGGAGGGGTATGGCCGAACGCACTCAGGCCTCTCTGCTGGTTGAGCAGCTGCTGGTAGGCCATGGGGTTGATGGGGTGGGGGAAGGTGAACGACGGACTGGGAGATGAAAGGACAGGACAGTTATTAACGGATGCACTCCATTTGAAGTACAACAGCAAATGCAATAACTTTAATAACTTAGTTAAATAGATAACATACGTTTTAAAACTGTGCAGATATTATATGACTGACTGTTGTATGTGGAGCCCTATGTGTAGATGTGTGGATTGTTTAAAGTAATACATAAGCTCTAGAGATGTATATGTGTAGAACAGTTGTTGTGTACACTATATATACAAAAGTATGTGGACACCCCTTCAAATGAGTAGATTCGGCTATTTCAGCCACACTCGTTGCTGACAGGTGTATAAAATCAAGCCATGCAATATCCATAGACAAACATTGGCAGTAGAACGGCCTTGCTGAAGAGCTCAGTGACTTTAACGTGGCACCGTCATAGGATGCCACCTTTCCAACAACTCAGTTTGTCAAATTTCTGCCCTGCTAGAGCTGCCCCCGTCAACTGTAAGTGCTGTTATTGTGAAATGGAAACGTCAGCCGTGAAGTGGTAGGCCACACAAGCTCACAGAACAGGACCGCCGAGTGCTGAAGCGCGTAAAAAATAATCTGTCCTGTTGCAACACTCACTACCGAGTTCCAAACTGTCTCTGGAAGCAACGTCAGCACAAGAACTGTTCGTCGGGAGCTTCATGAAATGGGTTTCCATGGCTGAGCAGCCGCACAAAATCCTAAGATCACCATGCGCAATGCCAAGCGTCGGCTGGAGTGGTGTAAAGCTCGCCGCCATTGGACTCTGGAGCAGTGGAAACGTGTTCTCTGGAGTGATGAATCACACTTCACCATCTGGCAGTCCCATGGACGAATCTGGGTTTGGCGGATGCCAGGAGAACGCTACCTGCACCAATGCATAGTAAAGTTTGGTGGAGGAGGAATAATGGTCTGGGGCTGTTTTTCATGGTTCGGGCTAAGCCCCTTAGTTCCAGTGAAGGGAAATCTTAACGCTACAGCATACAATGACATTCTAGATGATTCTGTTTCCAACTTTGTGGCAACAGCTTGGGGAAGGCCCTTTCCTGTTTCAGCATGACAATGCCCCTGTGCACAAAGCGATGTCCATTCAGAAATGGTTTGTCGAGATCAGTGTGGAAGAACTTGACTGGCCTGCACAGAGCCCTGGCCTCAACCCCATCAAACACCTTTGGGATGAATTGGAACACCGACTGCGAGCCAGGCCTAATCACCCAACATCAGCGCCCGACCTCACTAATGCTTGTGGCTGAATGGAAGCAAGTCCCTGCAGCAATATTCCATCATCTAGTGGAAAGCCTTCCCAGAAGAGTGGAGGCTGTTATAGCAGCAAAGGGGGGACCAACTCCATATTAATGCCCATGATTTTGGAATGAGATGTTCGACGAGCAGGTGTCCACATACTTTTGGTCATGTAGTGTATCTTATACAGTTGAAGTCGGAAGTTTACATACACTTAGGTTGGAGTCATTAAAACTTGTTTTTCAACCACGCCACAAATGTATTGTTAACAAACTATAGTTTTGGCAAGTCGATTAGGACATCTACTTTGTGTATGTCACAAGTAACTTTTCCAACAATTGTTTACAGACAGATTATTTCACTTATAATTCACTGTATCACAATTCCAGTGGGTCAGAAGTTTACATACACTAAGTTGACTGTGCCTTTAAACAGCTTGGAAAATTCCAGAAAATGATGTCCTGGCTTTAGAAGCTTCTGATAGGCTAATTGACATCATTAGAGTCAATTGGAGGTGTACCTGTGGATATATTTCAAGGCCTACCTTCAAACTCAGTGCCTCTTTGCTTGACATCATGGGAAAATCCAAAGAAATCAGCCAAGACCTCAGAAAAAAAATTAGTAGACCTCCACAAGTCTGGTTCATCCTTGGGAGCAATTTCCAAACGCCTGAACGTACCACGTTCATCTGTACAAACAATAGTACACAAGTATAAACACCATGGGACCACGCAGCTGTCATACCGGTCAGGAAGGAGACGCGTTCTGTCTCCTAGAGATTAACGTACTTTGGTGCGAAAAGTGCAAATCAATCCCAGAACAACAGCAAAGGAACCTTGTGAAGATGCTGGAGGAAACAGGTACAAAAGTATCTATTTCCACAGTAAAACGAGTCCTATATCGACATAACCTGAAAGGCCGCTCAGCAAGGAAGAAGCCACTGCTCCAAAAGCCAGACTACGGTTTGAAACTGCACATGGGGACAAAGATCATACTTTTTGGAGAAATGTCCTCTGGTCTGATGAAACAAAAATAGAACTGTTTGGCCGTAATGACCATCGTTATGTTTGGAGGAAAAAGGGGGCAGGCTTGCAAGCCGAAGAACATCATCCCAACTGTGAAGCACGGGGGTGGCAGCATCATGCTGTGGGGGTGCTTGGCTGCAGGAGGGACTGGTACACTTCACAAAATAGATGGCATCATGAGGAAGGAAAATTATGTGGATATATTGAAGCAACATCTCAAGACATCAGTCAGGAAGTTAAAGCTTGGTCGCAAATGGGTCTTCCAAATGGACAATGACCCCAAGCATACTTCCAAAGTTGTGGCAAAATGGCTTAAGGACAACAAAGTCAAGGTATTGGAGTGGCCATCACAAAGCCCTGACCTCGATCCTATAGAACATTTGTGGGCAGAACTGAAAAAGCGTGTGCGAGCAAAGAGGCCTACAAACCTGACTCAGTTACACCAGCTCTGTCAGGAGGAATGGGCCAAAATTCACCCAACTTATTGTGGGAAGCTTGTGGAATGCTACCCGAAACGTTTTTCCGAAGTTAAACAATTTAAAGGCAATGCTACCAAATACTAATTGAGTGTATGTAAACTTCTGACCCACTGGGAATGTGATGGAAGAAATAAAAGCTGAAATAAATAATTCTCTCAACTATTATTCTGACATTTCACATTCTTAAAATAAAGTGGTGATCCTAACTGACCTAAGACAGGGAATTTGTACTAGGATTAAATGTCAGGAATTGTGAAAAACTGAGTTTAAATGAATTTGGCTAAGGTGTATGTAAACTTCCGACTTCAACTGTACCTGATGCCGCTGACTGACAGGTGTCCGTAGGAGCTGCTGGCTGCGGAGCTGGAGCGTGAGTTGTTGATGTAGGCCACCAGGGAGTTGGGCGAGGTACGGATCATGGTCTGCAGGTCAATGCTGGCGTCTGAGAGAGGGGAGATGGACAGGGCTCGCTTTCTGTTCAGCCTGGGGGTCAGTCTGGGGCTGGAGAACCGGGACACTGCAGATAGAGAGCACAATCAATCAATCAATCAATCAAACATATTTATAAAGCCCTTTTAACATCAGCAGTGCTTTGCAGTACCCAGCCTAGACCCCAACGAGAAAGCCGATATACACAACATTTTAGTGACCCTTTCTCCCTACCCTGATTATGTGTTACAATAATTGTGGGGGAAGAAAATGTCACTAGTAGTATACTCCCACAGCATACTAAAAAGTAAGGACACAGAGGTCAGTCAGTCAGTAAACCCCCAAAGAGTTACAGTTTTAAGATGAAAGCAGAAGAAACATTCCTTGTTTATCCAGAGGTGCTCTAGTAGAGCTCATTCCTTGTTTATCCAGAGGTGCTCTAGTAGAGCTCATTCCTTGTTTATCCAGAGGTGCTCTAGTAGAGCTCATTCCTTGTTTATCCAGAGGTGCTCTAGTAGAGCTCATTCCTTGTTTATCCAGAGGTGCTCTAGTAGAGCTCATTCTAGTGCTAGTCTAGCCTAGACTAAGGTACAGTCCCCCTCAGTCTGTCGATGGCTGTACCAAATGGCACCCTATCCATATATAGTGCACTGCACTACTTTTGACCAAAAATAGTGCACTATATAGCTAATAGGGTGCCATTTGGGATTCAGCCTATATCTCTCTCCATCATCTCTCTAATACAACCCCAACCCTCCTCCTCCCCTTAACATTCACATCCTCTTATGCATAATGAATCACTCCCAATAATTTGCTGTAATTACCGTGATAAGAATCTCACCCAGTCAGTTGTATTTCAGCATGTTAAATGGAAGCAATTTAAACAAATTGATTTGAGAATACCATTAAAAGAATAAAGCATAGCTACAAAAGGTAGAGGTAAACCCAGAGAGTCATGGAGGGCTTTTACCAAGCTGTTTTTGGAGCATGAACATTACAGTAAAAAAAAACTTCTTATTTTTTTCCCACTAACTGTTGATTTGGTATTTTGTGTCAACTTTGACCCTTTTGGAATTAATTCCCTCAGGTTGTGTATTATAATCATCATTATTCTGTAAGAATGTATGCAGACATCCTTAACCGCGTAGTCATGAGTTCTGTGCATGTAATTCTGACCTGAATTGAGCATGTAGTCCCTTTTACAGGCTACATAAAACAGTTCCAGGTGGTCAAAGACATTTGGAAAGATGTCTTTCAGGGTTGTCCAAAAAGTAAATTGTATTTTTCTTTGGTGGCATTGGGTTTGAATCTGTTCCGGTGGCAATGGGTGACAGCTAGGGAGAGAAAGAGAGAGACAGAGGTGGTGGTAGGGGGTAGTGGCTAGCAGAATATGGGGTAAGGGTAGGGGGTAGTGTTGGCCAGCTGCTGTGGGCCAACAGGTGCTGAGTATTAGCCCTGGTGTGATGTGGCATGGCGTGACAGGACACAGACCAGGGCAGAGGGGTGGGGGTAGTACTGGTCTGGGATGGGGGGTTATTAGGCCTAACAGGGGGCATCATCAGAGGCGCTGGCAACAGGAAGTTCTTAATAGCTCCCATCACACCTCCCCAAAACACACAGACAGACGCACACACCACCACCTGACAACATGTCAAACACACCACTGTCCACCTGCAGCCAATCCTCTGACCCTTTATTGGGTAAATTAGTGACGCTTTCTTCCAGGCCATATGGATCCAGAGACCACTATACCTATCCAAACCTACGGCTGTAAAAACTGTAGTCTTATACATTGTGTGTGTGCGTGTGTGTGGGTGGGTGTTGGGGCATGCGCACGTGTGTGTGTGTAAAAACTGAAGTCTTATGTTTTCAGACTATTATGGTGCTGAGTTGTAAAACAAAAGGCTCATGTGCTTACTTAGAGAGCTGCAGGACTTCAGAGGGACTCTGGCTGCTCTACGAAAACTCAGCTGTAGAGATGTAAGAGATATAGAAGAACACTCCTAGGGACCGATTGTTGATTTTGCCAACTCTTTCATAAATGAAGCTAATAAATAAATGTGTCATGTATCATTAGGCGTATTTTGCGAAAGAGAAGGGGGGATTCTCGGGGGAGAGGGGGAGTAGAGAGAGGGGGTGGAGTGGGGAGAGGAGAGGGTTGCTATCCGGATACGAAGGTGGTTTATAGTATACTCTTTAGTGGCGCAGTGGTCTAAGGCACTGCATCGCAGTGCTAACTGTGCCACTAGAGATCCTGGTTTGAATCCAGGCTCTGTCGCAGCCGGCCGCGACCGGGAGACTCATGGGCGGCGCACAATTGGCCCAGTGTCGTCCAGGGTAGGGGAGGGGAGTGAATGGCCGGCAGGGATGTAGCTCAGTTGATAGAGCATGGCGTTTGCAACGGCAGGGTTGTGGGTTCGTTTCCCACGGGGGGCCAGTATATATATAAAAAAATTAAAAAAGGTATTCACTAACTGTAAGTCGCTCTGGATAAGAGCGTCTGCTAAATGACGTAAATGTCTTTAGAAAGGCTTTTTGCATCGAGTCTAATGTCTCTTTCTCTCTTGCCTGGGACTGGGCTGGCCCATTGTGGAGCTGCCGTGTGTTTGTCTGTGTGTGTGTGTGTGTGTGTGTGTAGTGCAGCGGTCTTATTCATCTCTGCTCACCACAGAACAGAACTGAACCTCAGGGGTGATTTGCTTATTAATGTGCCACTTTATAAAGCAGGAAACTAAACGGAGTACGGCTCACAGCCTGGCGAAGCTGGCGCCTGCCTCACCCCCTGGGCACCCTTCCCAAAAGACAGCCTCATACCTCATACCCCAACCCCCAAACCCCTCCATACCCCTAGCCCCAAACATGGTCTCAACATCTTCACAAAAGACTGCTTCACCCCCCAAAACCCCATCCCTATATCCTCAGACATACTGTAGTAATAACCCCCTAAACCCACCATCCCAAACCCCTACCCCCAGACATTGTCTCAACCCCCTTCATACTTCAGGCCTCCTGTAGCTCAGTTGGTAGAGCATGGCGCTTGCAACACCAGGGTTGTGGGTTCGTTTCCCACGGGGGGCTAGTATGAAAAATGTATGCACTCACTAACTGTAAGTCACTCTGGATAAGAGTGTCTGCTAAATGACAAAAATTTAAATACCTCCAACCCCAAAATACCCATCCCCAGAAAAACTGTAGTCTCTCCCTATTCAATTTAGTACAACTTTTTGTATCCACTCATGAGTCCCTAGTTAAAGTGTTAGTCAACAGTGTGTATGAGAACGTAGCGTTTGCTCTTCTAGCCTGGACCTGGAACACCAAGGATACACTCCTCCGCTGGCACCCCATGTTAGAGACACAGCGCCTGAAGACAGCCCCAATTTATTAGTGCGGCAGGTAGCCTTGAGGTTAGCGTGTTGGGCCAGTAACCGAAAGATCGCTGGTTCGAATACTGGAGCCGACAAGGTAAAAAATATGTCACTGTGCCCTTGAGCAAGGCACTTATCCCTAATTGTTTCAGGGGCGCTGTATAATGGTGACCCTGGCCGTGACCCCACTCCCTGGGGGAGTTGGGATATGCAAAATAAACACATTTTCCTTACACACTTGTGTGTAACAGGACAAATATAAGCACCCCCCTGAGGTCACTGTTGTGTCTGCTCTGCCTGAGGTCATTCAGGCAACACACACAGTGATGGAGTGTTTTATCGATGGCGGGGCTCTAATTTAGGGGTACACCAGGTTCTGGCAGCAGGGAGTGAGAAACCACATGTGTGAGGAGGTGGCGTGGCGCTGGCCGAGGGATATGTCCTGTTCTCTAGGTCTAGGACTGTCTCTGTGGGAGCAGAGTAGAGCACAGGGAGGGTTGGCTATAATTGGGGGATCTGGACTGATATATAGGCTCATAATTACAGGCACTTGTGTGCACATTAACAAAAAAAACTAAAAGGGGGCTGAGTGATTATTTTAAGCATCTCCGTTGCTGTTTTGATGGAAATGGCTTTGTGGAAAATCTGAATACTGTAATTGAAGGGTAGTAATCCTTAATCCTTTACCCCCCCGTCCCTCCCAGTACAGCCCCCAAACTAAAGCCCCCCGAATGAGAGTTGGCACAGGTTCCACACACAGCACACAAAGGTAGTCTCCCTTTGTTCAGTGCAACAGGCTTTAGAGGCCTGTAGTTAGTAGTTAGCCTGAGAGAATGATATTACAATGGGATGTAGGGTCTCTTTATCTGGGTTCTGTTTTCCCATCAGGAGAGCCAGTGGAGCCCTGTGGAGGGCCTGGCTTTGTTGGATGATTTAGTAAGGAGTGTTGATTCACTACCTCCGCTTCTCTCTCTCTCTCTCTCTCTCTCTCTCTCTCTCTCTCTCTCTCTCTCTTTCTTTTTCTTTTTCTTTCTTAGGGTCACTGTACAGTGGATCCACTACCTCCACTACTCTATCTCTCTCTCTTTCAGATGACCCCAGACTGAGGTAAAGTAGGCTGGGTCATGCGTTGGTCCTCCGAGGCGATGGAGAGAGGCCCAGCGCGAGGCCCATTCTCCCTCCCAAACTACACCACAGCCTGGGTACCAGCCAGCCAAGAGCCCCAGCCCAGCCCAGCCACCCCCGATCCCCTCTGCTCTCCTCCGAGTGGTGAGGAATGTTTATTTTTCCTGGTAAATCTCGCTAATACCATCACTGCACATTTTATTAGAGGGAGCTCACTGCGATGATTCCCCTATGAGCCCCCAGTGTCCTGCTAAAACCAGCTGTGTGTTTGTGTGTGTGCGCACACACACTACTGCCAGGTGCTCATGTGTGCTCATACAGTAAGTGTTTGTGTATGTAGTCAGAGGGACTGGACAAGACCCTCCTCCTTCTCTGTCCTCCCTCCCTCCCTCCTCCTCCCCAAACACTAAGATCTCTTTTTCCTCTGACTGCATGGCAGACGTTTACTTTGGCAGCAGCTATTGTCATGGGACCTTTGAGTTTATTTTCCCGGCAGCAGGGTCCTATGCTGTTAGTTCTCTACGAGCCTCCCCCCTTGTTCAGCCTTGTTTGACGCGTTCCTCAGTGAGCTTACTATTAAGACATAATGAACTGTAATCTGTAGGATTTACAGTATTTAAGTTTACACTGAAAGGGGTGCAAATGCTGATCCAGCTAGAGCAGGGGTGGCCAATAAATTTGTCTCGAGGGCAACATCGGAATGAAAAAATTGAGCAGAGGGCTGAACAGATCTTTTCCGGATCTATCTATCTATCTATCTATCTATCTATCTATCTATCTATCTATCTATCTATCTATCTATCTATCTATCTATCTATCTATCTATCTATCTATCTATCTATCTATCTATCTATCTATCTATCTATCTATCTATTCTATCTATCTATCTATCTATCTATCTATCTATCTATCTATCTATCTATCTATCTATCTATCTATCTATCTATCTATCTATCTATCTATCTATCTATCTATCTATCTATCTATCTATCTACTATCTATCTAATCTAATCTATCTATCTATCTATCTATCATATCTATCTATCTATCTATCTATGCTATCTATCTATC